ATAAAGGGGGCTCCACCCAAGGCCCATATGGACCCACCCGCATGCGTCCCCGCCATCCATTCCGGCACACCCCTCGCATGGTGAATGGTCATATAGGGAGCTCCATTCAAGGCCCAAGTTGTGCCGCCCGCAAGCGTCCCCGCCACCCATTTCGGTACACCACTCGCACGTTTCGTGGCCCCATAAGGGGGCTCCACCCAAGGCTCAAATGGTGCCGCCCGCATGCGTCCCCGCCACAAATTTCGGCACACCCCTCACACGTTTCGTGGCCCCATGGGGAACGCCACCCAAAGCCCCGATGGTGCCGCCCTCATGCGTCCCCGCCACCGATGTCGGCACACCCCTCACACATTTCGTGGCCCCATAGGGAACTCCACCGAAGGCCAATATGGTTCTGGCCGCATGTGTCCTCGCCACTCATGTCCGCACACCCCTCAGACTTTTTCGTTGCCCATAGGGACTTGCACCCATTGCCCATATGATGCCGCCCGCACGTGTGCAAACTCATTTCGGTGCACCCCTCACACGTTTCGTGGCCCTATTCGGAGCTCCACCCAAGGCCCACATGTTACCGCCAACATGCGTCCCCACCACTCTCGTCGGCACACCCCTCATACATTATAAGCTGGTCCCAAGCAATGCGTCGAGTCCTCCGGAGGTCGACGGTCTGCAAAAATGATGACGCTGGGGTCTGGAAGCAGTGTCTGAACTTAAGGGTCTGTTCTTGCTTTTCCAAGGGACTGGATGGGTGTCCCGAGGATTCGCCACGTTCCAGCCCGTTGCAGCCTGTGGGGTGTCCCAGGGACTCGCCACGTTCTGGCCCGTTATGGCCCGTTGCGGGCCGATGCCGCCTGTGGGGTGTCCTGAAGATGCGCACTTGCCCTCTGAAAAACGACCGCAGAGACGCTTGTACATCAAATAACTTGCGCAATCACAATGCCATATCTTCCTGTTTGGGGTCCACGCTGGCAAATATCTGTTTAGGGGAGGAGGACGGAGCGCGACCACAAAACTTCAGACGGCTCAACCTCAACCGCTGTGCGAATCAAAAGGTCGCCGGGCAAACCGGGATCCCGACGCGAGCCGACCTGATAGATAAACTCACGCAGTGAACCGTGGCCTGACGGAGGGACACGAGCGCGCCGCATGCGAATATCCCACGAGGCCCAAGCGGCCAACTCCATTACCTATACAAAGCACGAGGTGAGGAGGCGAGAGGAAAGGGTGAAGAGGGGAAGGCTGAGGGGTAGTGGGAGGACGCCAACTGTACACCTACACCGATCCTGGCCAGGACCATCCTGTGCTTATCATTGGTGTATACGCCTTCCTGGCTTCGGCAAGAAGACACATTACACACCGATCCTGGGTCTGGGGTCGGCATGGTCAGGCTCGGTCTAGCTGTATGCAGTTGGTGGTCTCGGAAGGCAGGATTGGTCAGCATCTGGTCGGGAAATCGGATTGGATCAGAACTAACATTGACTTGGGTCGCATCGGTCTGAAGCTAAATCCTAACCGGGGGGGCGAGAGGTGGGGGAAGGATCGGTCGGCGGTATCGGATCGGGAGATCTGAAAGGAAGGCGAGTTGAGACAACGGCAGGACTGAAGGGCCCTCCCTCGTCACCAGGGCCGGACGCGGCTCGGACATCTGGTGAGTTTGGGCCCCAGGAGGAGTCCGTGGATCGACTTTAGGCTGCCGCTGTCTGAACTTACCCTGCTCCGAAACTCCGATCGGATCAGATGGGAACGGGTATCGAACTGGGCCGCATCGGCTCATTGTCAAAATCCACCGACAGGACGAGGAGGAGGAAAAACAGGAACAGGAGGAGGGAGAGGAGGAGAAGGAGGATGAGGATGAAAATGAGGATGAAGATGAGAAGTCGCCCATCGATCGGCGATTTGGCCCCGACAATGAATCCACACGTTCCTGGGAAGGTAGGGCTATCGGGCCCCTATCGGCGATCAAGGGGCGATGGGGGTCGATGCATCCCCCCGGTGCCTATCCCCCCCCAATCGTTGCTCCTGAGTGTGAAGGGATGTCGGCGCCTCCTCTCTGGCTTTCCCGTTTCCAGTGCTTTCCGGCTGTCCTTTCTTGTGCGGACACTCGCGAGCCTGCGCTCCAGGTGCGTCAGCACAACGGACGTCCAGCAATCCGTAACAGAGTCGAGTGGAAGCCTCTTGCCTTTGATCCCTTCCCTGCGGAGGAGGAGGGGTCCGAGATGGGGGTGGGGCGGGTGTCGCGGGGGAAGGCACTCCCCACCTGGGAGAAGCTTTCTCGTTCTCTTTCGCGTCATCATCGGGGTACTTTGGCACTCTTTTGGCAGCTTCGGTCCAATCTGTTCCCAGATGGCCCTGAAACGGTCCAAACACACGCCGCAACGGTCCAATATGCCGTCAAGACGGCCCAAGAAACCCTCCAAGAGCATTCCCAAGAGCGCCGCAAGAGGCAAAGCACCTTGAGTGTCCGTAGTTCCCTAATAGCTTGGCGGTGCGCACAAGGGGGTGGAGGGTTGGGGGAGGACTTCTTAGAAGGAGGCTGCTTCTTAGAAGGCGCCAGCCCTACATCTATAGATAAGGCCCACGCCTTCTAAGAAGCAGGGGTGCTTCTAAGAAACCCTCTCCCCTCCCCCCACTCCCCTCTGCGCGTGGCTGAATAGCGAATCGCTAAGAAGGGTTCTAGCAGAAGTAAATCAAAAGTAAAGGACCACACACATCCCACAAGGGGGACGGTGAACCCGAGACCGCCCTCAGAGATCCCTTGTTCTGGCAGCCGTTTCGCCTGAACCCCCCTCGCACTGTCTTCAGGAATCGTGCTCTCGCCTCAAGGATACCGGAGAAAAGCCCCAACGAGAGTTTTTTGTTTATCTTACATGAGATCTCTATGTAATTGCTCCTTAGGTTTATGAAGTCTGCGAGGGCTCTCGTGCTGTAGGGCTGTAGGGCTATGGGGCTATAGGGCTATAGAGCTATAGTGCTATAGGGCTACATGGCTATAGGGATATATGGCTATTTGGCTGTAGGGCTATAGGGCTATAAGGCTACAGGGCTACAGGGCTGTAGGGCTATAGGGTGATATGGCTATAGGGGGCTACATGGCTATATTGGCTATGCTATGGAGCTATAGGGCTATATGGCAAGTGGGCTATAGGGCCATAGGGCTATAACGCTATAGGCCTACTGGGCTATATGTCTATAGGTCTATATGGCGATAGAGCACCCGGACACCTGGGCACCTCCGGGCACCTCTGGGCACCCCCGGGCACCTCCGGGCACCCCCGGGCACCCGAGCACCCGAGCACCCAGGCATCCCTGGGCACCCGGGCTGGCCACCGAAATCGGCGACGCACCTCACCTGAACATATGATACCAGAGAAAAAACCCAATCATATTCTTTTTAGGGCTGTAGGGCTATAGGGCTACAGGGCTATGTGGGCTCTTGGGCGCTATATGGGCTACATGGCTATATGGCTATATGGGTTATAGGGCTGTAGGGCTATAGGGCGATAGGGATATAGGGCTATAAGGCTATAGGGCTACAAGGCACCGGGCACCCGCACCCGGCACCCGGGCACCCACCCGGGCACCGGGCACCCGTCACCCGGGCACCCGGGCACCCGGGCATCCGGGCACCCGGGCCCGGCCACCGAATCGGCGGCGAACCCGGGCACCCGGGCACCCGGGCACCTGGGCACCCGGGCACCCGGGCCCCGCCACCGAATCGGCGGCGAACCCTGGCACCCGGGCACCGGGGCACCCGGGCCCGGCCACCGAATCGGCAGCACACCTCACCTACCTTCCAATCCGCTAGGACCCCTACAGAGGCAAGCTCTGATTGGGGAATGAATCCGCTAGGACCCCCACAGAGGCAAGCTCTGATTGGGGAACTAAAGATAAACAAATCCACCCCCAGAGTAACCACCCTGACACGTGAAGTCGTCTAGTAAACGCGCCCAAAGAAGGAATCAAACAGGGCAGGTCTGTTTAGTAAACGCCCAGGGCCATTTAGTAAGCGCCACTTGTCGGGTCTGGATGTTTTGCCTGTTGATCAAAGGCGGCTACAGTTTTGGTCCAGACGGCCACGACCCCTGGTAGAAAATACACCACTTAAGGTTCTTATGGCCGTGCTCTCACCCTTGTCCCGCTTGTCAGCGTTCCTAGAATCCCTAAACATATCTACTAAGAGTGCTCATTTTCACTATCCGTCTTCCTACTCTTCGGCCCGCCTCTTCACCTTTGCTGCTATAAAGGTGCTTTGCTGGAATATTTGGTCGACAACTCTCCGCGTGCTCGCCTTTTCGGGCTTCCAACGCTCTAAGACGGCCCAAGCGGCTCCCAAGATCGCCCCAATACGGCCGAAGGGGCCGAAAGAGGGCCCCAAGACGGTCCAAGAGGTGGCGCGCGAACTGACATCTCGAGACCTCCTCCCAAAGTGTACCCCCGAGACCGCCAGCACGCCCTCAAGGAGCCCCCCGGAGACCCCCCGGAGGCCCCCCGGAGGCCTCCGATAGCCCCGTCCAGAAGGCCTCCGAGAGGCACCCCGAGATACCCTGATGTGCATTCAAAGAGCCTCTGGTCCACGACCCAGGCAAGGTGGAGGGATAGGCCGAAGGCCCCTAGATCCGCCGTCCCCTGTGGTCTTGTGACCAGGGTGCATGGCGTGTCGAATTTCAGGAAAGTGTTGGTTCTTGTCTGAAGAACACCCAACGGGATCTCGGTCCAACCCGCCGGGCACCCAGAAAGATCTCCCAGACCCGGTCGGCAAGGACTGTTTCCGCTTCAAGATGGCGTCCAAAAGGCCAAGATGGCCTCCAAGACAGCTGAGATGGCCCAAGATGGCCTCCAAGACGGTTCCCACGACGCTTCTAAGATGGTCAAGATGGCCCCGTACATCCCAAGATGTCCTCCAGACGACCCAAGAGGACCCTCAGACGTCCTGAGAGGGCTCAAAGGGAACCTCCAGGAGGCGAGGTTTTTTTAATGATTTTAGCGTTCTCCCCTTCCGACGCTCCAAGACGAGCCCATTGGCCCCCAAGATCGCCCCAAGGCGGCCCAAGATGCCCAGGAGGCCCGCAAGATTGCCCAATAGGGCTCCAAGACAGCCCAAGAGGCTCCCAAGACGACCCCAGAGACCTTCAAGACGGCCCTAAGCGGGCCCCCAAATGATTACCGAAGACCAAGAGGTCCCAGAGAGGCCCCCAGAGGCCCCTAAGAGGCCCTATAGGCCCCCCAAGATGTCCCTTTGAACTCACCTAAAGGCTCCCAGGAAGCCCCCAGGAAGCTTCAAGAAAGCCCCAAGAGGCTTCCTATTATTCCTCCTCCTTCTCCTCCTGTTTTCTCTTCCTCTCCCCAGTGTTCCCCCATGGGGCGCCATAACGTCTAAGGGAATGCATAATCCAATAGCTTGGCCAGCCTTCGCCCCAACGCTTGGCCGCATGGGCGTGCTAAACTTTGCGTAGTTTTGGATTCACTTCTGAAGGACACCCGACAAGGTCTCAGCCCAACTCGCGGGTCACCCAGCTCCGGGGTGGCCAAGGAAGCTCTGGGAAGGCTCCGCGCCCCAGGGTGGCCAGGGGTGGGGGGTGGAAGGGAAGCTTCCGCCCGGGGGCCCCCCGGGGCGGGATTTCCGGTTTTTGAAAGAAAGATGCGCGTGCTACACCCATGCCCCCGACTTCTCATTGCACGCAAGGTGGTCATGTAGGTATTTGGCCGGTTCTGGAAATCCTGAACCCCAAAACGTTGCCGTCTCTGAAAACAACCTTTTTTTACTTCCACTGGCTTCCGCCGGCTTTCCGCCGGCTTCCGCTGGCGGAGGCGGCCTCGTTCTACTTCCGCGGACTTCCGCCACCCTTCCGCCGACGAAGAGATGCCAACTCCTTCGAACCTCGAAGGCGAAGCCCTTTCTGGAATGACTCATGTGCGGACTTGCGTATTGTGGGCGTCAACTTCTTGATTCCTGGAGGACGACTTTGAGGTGCCCTTGAGTTGGCGCAGGTAGGCGGGCCTGCGGCACACATCCGGTCTGGCAGGTCGGTCTCGTAGAATGCGGCCTCATTGTAAGCCGCTGGGCCGTGGTCTCCACCGGCTCAGAGGGGATGATAATGCTGATGATGACGATGATGATGGTGATGCTGATGTTGATGGGACGACGATGATGGCGATGACGATGACAATGACGATGATGATGGTGATCATGATGGTGGTGATGATGATGAGGACGATGATGATGACGATGAGGACGATGAAGATGACGATGAGGATGACGATGGCAATGCTGGTGATGATTATCATGATGATGATAATGACGATGGTGATGACGACGATGATGATGACGACGATGAGGATGATTACGAGGACGATGACGATGATAATAATGATAGTTTGTTGTTGATGATGATGATGATGACGATGGCGATTATGATGGTGACGATGATGATGATGATGCTGATGATGATGACGACGACGACAATGACGATGACGATGATGATGATGATGATGATGATGATGATGATGATGATGATGGTGGTGGTTATGATCAAGATGAGTATGAGGATGCTGCTGCTGATGATGATGAGGAGGATGAGGAGGAGGACGAAGAGGAGAAGGAGGAGGAGGAGGAAGAGGAGGAGGAGGAGGAGGAGGAGGAGGAGGAGGAGGAGGAGGAGGAGGAAGTCAATGATATCCACTGCGTGGCAACGAGCTCAGCCTCGTCAGACCTCAGGCGGGGCCCACGTGCCCCCCCCCCACCAGGTCATACATTCTGGCGAGCTGCTGTGGGCCTGGAGGGGCCCCTGCGACCTGGAACATCTTCTTAATTCGAGCTGAGGGACTTTTTTATACCGTGGGCATCGAACGCGATGCCAAGGGCAGCACTGAGCTGCCGTGGACTGCCCAGGTGGTGCAGCTTCTAGGAGCTAACCAGCCAGGAAGCATGCACCAAGAGCCTGCAGGCCCCGACGGGGAGGCCTGCAGACAGAGTCCTGGGCGAAGGCGACAGAGAGCGTGGCGAGACGGAGACGGAGGATGAAGAAGAGGGAGCCAACATCGAACACCGGTGACTTTTGGTAAGCGATTTCGGCATCTGGGCTTCTGTTCTCTGGCCAAGATGGAGCGGCCAAATGGGCTTCCCAACCTTGCTTTTCCGAGGCCGTGAGGGGGGCGGGTTTCAATCCCTTGTCGTCGTCGTCCTCCTCCTCCTTCTCCTCCTCTCTAGCGGCCATCCTGGGGAGCCGTCGTCGCCACGGCTGGATTTGTCAAAAACCCTGCTCAAAATGCGCTCCAGGAGAGGTCTGGGGGGAGACTGGAGAAGGAAACAGGAGGAAACGGAATAAGGGGGGAGATCTGTATTTGAAAAGTTTGGAATGTTCTTCATGGGTTGGCAGACGCCTTCGCAATTGTCTGGGATTGTCTGGAGGTTTCGGGTTGTCTGACGCTTTCGGGGGAGGAGCAAAAATTATAATGAAGCATGGATGGAGAAGGAGAGCAGACGGAACGCAATAGACATGGTCTTCAAACGTGTGTATATATACATAGATATGTTCCTCCTCCGACTCCCCGTCTCTTGATGATAAAATGAAGGCAACCAGACATATGTCGTCAGAACATTGTTCAACAACTCTTAGCAGTCTTTGCACTGCGTGCGCTGGCTGGGCTCTACTATGCACCATAATGTCGGATTTAACCGAAATCCATCGTGACAACTGGGCGGCTAACGATGGAACTGTCGGTCCACCTATGAACTTAACCAGCGATGCGCATAACGATCTAGCGATCAATAGATCTAGAATCTTACACACGGTCCATAGGCCTGTCTAGCGAGCGGGCGACCAAACTCACGATCTCATTATCTGGCCAATGGATTACTACACGTTCCTACTACCTGGCGATCCCGCCAACAACCCAGCTACCAACGGTCTAGCCAGCGATGGACATGACGGCCTGGCTACCTCACAGCAGACGGCTGACAATGAAACTATCAATACAACTCTACGAATTACCGATCCCGCTATAAAGCCGACAACCCCGGGACAACCATGGAACAACTGTCGGGCATCCACGTGGGGCGGCGGCAAAGGACATCTCTGGGGGACGTGCGCGCGGGGACAGTCGCAATCGCAAGCAGGGGGCAGCGGCACAGGACAACCGCGGGACAGCCTGCCAGGACCCATCCCGGGCAGAAGCCCCTCTTCCGTGTCGCACTTGCAGCCAACCGTGGTCAGTGCCGGCGGGAGGCAGAGCCAATTTAGGCTTAGGTCGGGCATGTCCTCCTACAGGCAGATTTTGGACGACAAATTCCAAGTACTCAGACAATACTCAAAACTAGTCGAAACATAGTCGAGCATCGCCCCGGGATTTTTTGCCTACTTTTGAGTATTCCTCTTGTAGAGAGACACGCGCGATTCAAATTTAGGCGAACAAGGATCCGTCCGAAGGGCGCGAGGAGAGGACGCGAGAACCCCGTCATCCTCCCTCTCACCGATCTTTGAGGTGCGAGGAGCAGGAATAGGAGGAGGAGGAGGAGGAGGAGGAGGAGGAGGAGGAGGAGGAGGAGGAGGAGGAATCGCCTCGGAATTGCCTGCCGCCCACATGCGGTGGGTCAGTACTCACGGTAACCGCCAGGGCTCTGGGTACCAAACTCCTGGGGGGCGTCGGAGCGCAGCTTCGCGCCGAGCTCGCCCCAGATCGCATTCAGAAGCAGCCTCGGGTACGCGACGGCCTGGATGCAGACCCTTGCGGATCCGCGCCAGGTTCTCGCGTTCTTTCCTGGTGGCCTCGCCGCACTCCCCCAGTAGCCACCGAGGGTCGGTCGTGGCAGTGAAGCCGCACCGCACGCAGACAAAAACAGGCTGTGGCGCGGCAACAGCTGCACTCGGTGCGACGCATGAAGTGCTCTCCCACCCACCCGAACCACCGCTCCCGCCGCCCGAATGACATCGGCAAGATGCGACCCAGTCACATCGCCGACCGCCGTGCAGGGAGAGGCACAAGCCTCGGCGAGGCACGAACCTAGCACCAACTGGTGATAGAGGGCACAAGCCCAGTGGCGGCCTGCACGCACGAAGCAGTGGCTGGAGGCAAGGAGCGCCTGCTGGATGGCAGACGCGGAGGGAGAGCTGGCGCTCGGTGGCCGCTCAGCGGTACACGGAGCAGCCGCAGTCGCATCGATGAAAGCCTGCCTAGCGCGCTTGCGCACCATGGCGGCCGTGCAGTCCCAGGTGTCCGTATGCGGGGCGCTGCCATCAAGTGCCGCATGCCAGGCGCGGCGAGAGGCGACGCTGGCGAGCTCGTCGGCCGCGCCGTTGCCCTCCGCCAGGCACCGCTCCCAAGCCGAGACCTCAGGGGAGGTGGGGTCAAGGTGGCTGGGGGCCCAAGTGACCCTGACCTCGCCCTCGTGCGCTAGGAAAGCGGCCCTGATCAGGCGCCAGAGATCTGCGTTGGGGCCCGTGCCCCCGCCAGTGCGATGGATCCCATTGCTCCCATCCTCGCATCAACGTGGCGCAGTCGGTGACGTAGAGCTGCGGCCCTTCGAAGGAGGCCAAGGCGAGCGCGAAGGCGCGCAGCTCAGCCCTTGTGACCGTCTGGCGTCGGCCGTCAAGACCGCGCGCTACACTGGCAAGGCAGCGCAGGCCGCGCGGGGTTAGCTCCATCACCGCCGCAGCTGCGCCCGCGCGACGCCTGCGGACGTCGCAACTGAATTTTCCGCCCGAGCCGTCTCCGAAGACGACCAGGCAGGAGTGAGGTTCTCGCCACGCGCGGGCCGTGACGTCGGCCTTGAGCGGGCGCCCCGCATCGTCCCCATCCCGCCCCGCGCTCCAGACCGTCGCCCCACCCCCCCATCCACGAACGATGGAGTGGTGAGAGAAGACAGAGGAAGGCCACGAAGCCAGAGGGATGGGAGTTGGTCCTGCCCAGCCACGGCCTGTGGGATGAGGAAGTCCGGGTCTTCGTAACCCGAACCCTGGTTGCAACGAAGTTGCCATATGCGATGGAACAATGTTTCTGGGGCCTCTCCGCAGCGTGGGCATAACGGGGAAGCGAGATACCCTGCGTCCAGTTGCCTCCGCCGCGGCCATGCCCCCCTGAAACTACGGTGATAAGCTGCCCTACTTCATCGTAAGCACCCGATCGAACCGCTCGGCGGCTCTCAACACGGATCGGGATGACATCAGCTCCTGCCGACAGGCCCTCCCCAAAAAGATGAGACGCCGCCGCCGCCCAGAGGGGGGGGAGAGGTCCTCGCGGAGGTCCTCGAGGAGGTCCGAAACATCGAAGACACCCTCGCTCCTCTGCTCCTCAGGGGGCGGGTCGGGGAAGTGCCATCTCTCCCAGCTGTCGCCTGCGGGTCTGCGCCGCTCGACAAGTCGAGACTGGGGGCCAACCAAGATCAAGCAGGGTGGCCTGAACAGCTCCCATGGGCCCCCTCGCCTTGCGCCAATTCTCGCTGGCGCCCCGACCGATGCGCGCGCGCGCCCGAGGCCGCGAACGAGCAGTGCGAGCGTGCAGACTGGGGGTGCGCGTCCACGTGTCGAGCCACGCAGTGACAAGCCGAATGTGCAGCGAGATCGCTGGGCCCTGGTCGCCGAGCCACAGAGGCAGCGTAGTGGCGGGGCACCTACCTGGCCCTTTCCCCGCCGCAGCCGACGCGGCCTGCCGTTGCCAGACGGTGATGGTGGATGGGGGGGGCGCCCATAAGAAGCTTGAGGGGGGGCCCCTTGGAGAACGAAGCCCTTCGAAATATCGCACAGTTTCGCGTGCTTGCGAAGGCGGAGAATCCTGAGAGCTCGACGTTGGCCCTTGGCTCTCCTAGCACGGAGCTCTTGCGCCACCCGTCTGGTGCCAGCCGCAGTGTCGCAGCCGAGGTCAAGCGCGCGCCGGGCTCGAGACAAAGGAAGGCCGACCTCCTTCAGATCTCTGTCGAGGAGGCGGCCTAGAGATGGCGACGAGGCTGTGATCAATTTCACCTAGTCCGAAATCGGCAGCCCCGCCCGGGCCGACAAAGGCGCCAACTGGGCTCCCGCGGTCCGCGACTGCGGTCTGACTGACGACTCAGTGCCTTCGCTGCGGACGACCGTGTCGTCGACGAACGTCCACGAGCTCACTGGTGGGGCCTGGGGCGAGTCGGCCTTGGCATGCACTTATGGAAGGATCGGGCCGAGGAACGCTTTCGCGAGCTTCGCGCCGCGCGCCGACCCCGCCACAATAGAGCGCTCAAGGAAGGCAATGTCGCTGCGCGTGGTCCTGGGTTTCAGCGCCCGAGACACCGGGAAAAGCTGAACCTCCAAGAGGGCCACCACGGGCGGGGAACCTTGGGCTAAGGAGGCCCCCATCAATCGCAGCAAACTGACATTGTCATACCATTTTTCAATGTCCAACAGAATAGTGGCCGACAGGGAGCCTAGAGACACCGAGGACTCGTCCATCGCTGCTCGAATCAAGGCCGCCCTGAGGGCGCTACTCTTTTTCGTGGCCGTATCCCAAAACTCACCGAGCTCCTCTGGCCATCGATCTGTGATGGTCGCCCTCGCACCCGATCGCCTCCAGCGGCCTTCGGGATCGTGCAACATACAATGAGAAGAAGCTGGCGAGGCCAGCTGCCGAGGCGCTCAGCGGGGTTGAATACGTCCGCGACGCCCTGGCGCCCCTGCCGCGGGAGCCCGTGGATGTCCAGCGGCGAGAGGACGTCGACTCCTCGGGCCTTGGAGCCTGAGAGGCGACCGACGACGCTGTCCACCTGCGCCAGCTCCAGCGGCTCGAGCGGCTGCCGCTGCGCCTCCTGCCAGAGCCGCTGCATGCCCTGGAGGAGGTCTGGGCGCGACGCAGCCGGGTCCTGTCAGCGCGGCTCTCGGCTCTCGGCCTTCTCCGCCAGCAGGACCGCAGGTGAAGCAACGGCCTCGGGCACGACCGCCTCAGTCTTGACGTGGCGGTGCACTGCACCAGGGCGGAGCTTCCAGCAGTCCTGGGCCCACCGCACAAAGGCCTGCCCCGCGGCGGCCAAGCTGCGGGAGAAAACCCGAAGCACCAGCACGTGCGTGCGCTCCACGATGCTGACCAGCTACTCCAGCTCCGCGACGGCGCGAGTGCAGGAGCGAACGCCCTCCAGCCACGCGTCAATGTCCTCAGTGCTCATACGCTTCCCGAACATGACCTCCCTGGGCTGGCTCTCGCATTGCTCCAGCATCCTCTCGATGGTGTCGATGCTGGTGCCCTGCTGCTGGTGGTCCGAGTCGTGCTTGCGCAACGCCAAAAAACGCGTGAGGAGAACGTCCATCGTCCACCACCATTCCACAGCAGGAGCTCGCATGTGTGCTCGCCCTGGTGATGGCTTGAGCCGCGCCCAACTCAGGCCTGGCACGTCGGCTCTTCCCCCGCAGCGCTGACGCGTGAAGGATTCCACGCCCTCGAACTTCAGCACCGTCTCCCCGAAGGTTCTGACCCAGCGGCCGTAGAGGTCAGTGACGGCACTGACCTCCGCGTCCTCAGGAAAAGGCTCAGGAGTGGGAGGAGGAGGAGGAGGAGGAGGAGGAGGAGAAGGAGGAGGAGGAGGAGGAGGAGGAGGAGGAGGAGGAGGAGGAGGAGGGAGGAGGAGAGGAGAGGAGGGAGGAGGAGGAGGAGGGGAGGAGGGGGGGAGGGGGAGGGGGAGGAGGGGGAGGAGGAGGAGGAGGAGGAGGAGAGGAGGAGGAGGAGGATGAGGAGGAGAGGAGGAGCGGAGGAGGAGGAGGAGGAGGAGGAGGAGAAGGAGGAAGAGGAGGAGGAGAGGGAGGAGGAGGAGGAGGAGGAGGAGAAGGAGGAGGAGGAGGAGGATGATGAGGAGGAGGAGGAGGAGTAGGAGGAGGAGGAGGAGGAGGAGGAGCAAGGATTCAGGGCCGAGCAACTCTGGCCCTGGCAGCACAAGCCTCAAAGCCGGCAGGAGCAGCCCTTACGTCCACTTCGTACGCGCACGCCACTTCCCCACGCTTCGCCCGCACGCACCACACGAGCCAAGCGGGAGCCGACGCCGACTTCAACAGATGGGGGCCATTTGGCTTCGCCTTAGTCTTGCCCCTTAACTCGGCGGCGAGCGAAGGGGGGAAGTGAGAAGGAGAAGGCCTTCTCAGAAGGCGGCGGGACTTCTCAGAAGCCCTTGCGCCTTATGAAAGGTTTTTGTCTGTCTTCGGGGAAGGCTCAGAACACTTCTCAGAAGTCCGTGGGACTTCCGAGCCTTATGAGAAGGCCCGCCCCTTCTCACTTCCCCCTCTCGGTCGCCGCCGATTAACCCCTGGCCCACCGAAATGATGACCACTCAGTGCAGGCAGGGCTTCGGACACAAGCCCACGCGCCCCTGCGCGTCTCCGAACCGGGAGCCCATCTCGGGCTTGGCGGCACAAAAGGCGATGACCTCCATGCTACGACCAGTGATCTTGGAGCGACATGTTGTCGCAGTTTTTGTAGGTGCCGATGCTCTTCGCGATGATGGGCACCTTGGGCTGCTAAGCGCAGTGCGGAAAACGAGCCCGACGTCGTACGGATGAGCACAAGCTCGCTCGCTGGTGCAGCGGAGGCGCGCGCCGCACGCCACCGCTGAGGGGCCCAGGCTCGCTGCTGTACTGTGCGCAAATCGGCGCCACACATCCAGACGGGTGGCATACGCGCAAACCTTGGTGGATTCGGCAGCGCTCTTCTAAGGAAGATCCTCAGAGTGCCGATCGCGGGATGTGCCCATACTGAGTTCCGCGAGGCCCTGGCAAGCGAGCCGAGGACCCAACTCTCTTGAGGCGGAGTATATCTGAGCAGACCGGGCGGTTGCGCTCGCTGACGCGCGCGACGGTCCCCGTCTTGCGCAAGCCCTCCTCCTCCTCCTCCTCCTCCTCCTCCTCCTCCTCCATCTCCTCCTCCTCCTCCTCCTCCTCCTCCTCCTCTTTCTCCTCCTCCTCCTCCTCCTCCTCTTCCTCCATCTCCTCCTCCTCCTCCTTCATCTCCTCCTCCTCCATGTCCTCCATATCCTCCGCTGCGAAGAGGAGGGAGGCGCAGACGCACCAGGGACTGCGAGGGAAGGGGCCACCGTGCGCGCGGTGGCGGGGGCGACCAGACGAAGGATGCAGGGACATGCTTGTACGCGTGCAGGCGCCCGGGCAAACAATGTGCTCGGGAGCCCGCCGGCTGCGCCAGCAGGAGTACGCCACGCCGAGAGCACGCCCCTTGCCACCAGCACGGCCTGTCCAACGCGCGCTCTTTTCTGTCCTTCCCTCGGCCTCCTGGCCTCCGACTCTCTCTGCCTTGAATCGCTTCCACATCCTGCTGCGGCCCTGACTCATCCTATCGGGCGCTCACTCCTCCTGGCCTGCCGCAGCGCAAAGTCGGGGCACGGGGCGAGGAATCACCGGATAACGTCTCAAACAACGACTCCATGATCTCGCGGCCCATGAATGGTCCCTTGAGAGGATCCCGTGCCATCTTTCTCGCCTTCGGACCCTGCTGGAGCGAGACCTCAGGCAAACGACGCAGCACATCGTGTATGCATATCTCGGTCTCTGCCGTCTCTTGAACGGGACTCACTGTGCTCCCCAGCTGGACGGACGCGACTGGGCGGTAGGAGCTCCTCCAAGATCACGCCCCCTGTGAGGCGCTTTACTAGAGGCCTCCTAGATGGGGTCGGAGTAGATGGGGTCGGAGGACCGCGCCGCACCGCCGATACATCGGCGATGCACTGGCGATGCATCGTCGACGTCGGCATTGAGAAAATCGGGCTCCTCATCGAGCCGCATCGGCGAGGCATCGGCGATGCGGCGCGATCCTCCGACCTCACCTACTCCGACCCTATCTAGGAGGCCTATATTTACACGGAGCGGGACGCCAACCTTGGTCTTGCCCTCCAGAGGTGATTACCTCTTCGCTGTACCCGTCCCACGGCACTGGCTCCGCACCGTGCGTGGCTCTGCCCCGCCCCGGGGCCCAAGCCGACTCGCCGTTGTCGCCCTGAACGCTGAGCTCTACGATGCCGCCCTCGCCGGTCCAGACGCCTGCCACCTGCCACACCGTTTTTTTTGTTTTTGTTTTGTTTTTTAATGTTTTTTACACTTGGCACCTGCCATGACTGATCGCTGATGCTAAGAATGCGCGCGGCGACCGCTACGATTGTCATCGCACTCCCTCCACTGCCAGATCGGACTTCTCAATCTTTTCAGCTGCAGCGAGCCCTGGTGCCCACAGACAACAAGCGCCCATGGTATCACTATTGCGATCGCTGTCGCTACGTACATGGAGCAACAACTGCTGCTGCGTTCCTCTTCTTCTCTCCAATGGAACTCTATCACTGCTGGGGCTTACACAACCGTCTCCAAACCAACCACAACTGGGCCCGAGGAGAAGGATGACGACAAGGATGGTGGAGGAATGGGGAGGAGGGAGGAAAGGGAAGAAAAGAAGTATATAGTTGGTGTGTACGCTCGTCTTGGCAGTGAGGTCGAGGCGAAAGGCGGCAACCTCGCGTACGCCAAAAAGCGCAGCAATAAGGTCACGGATGCGTACGTGCCGATCCGATTTGTAGATGCGTCTTTGGGTGTAAGGAGCGTCACACGGTTGTGAAAGGTTCGCTCCGCGAGAGTCTTGTCTTCTTTAGGCTTTTGTTCAGTGCACTCTTGCAGTGTATCAGCGTACGTGAAATGAAGGTCATGAACGCTAGGTGCATGCGTGTTTATATAGGGATCGTCGATGCTGTTCGGTTCGATGGAAGCGATAGGTCCGACCTGAGAGTGCGCAGTGAGTTTTGCATGTCTTCGGTCGATTGCATTCTGGTGAAAGACAAGCGAAATTACTTGGGAAGACTGGGAAGGTCGTTTTCGCACCCTTTGAGGGCCATGTTGCCGCTTCGAGAGCAAGCTGGTCGTCCAGTACTCCCCTGGGCACAGCGTGCTGGAAGGACCTGCGACTGCTGTGCGAGACGGGTGCCTGCGTCAGGGAGATGTTACCTCTCCAGTTGCGTGCCCTGAGGAGTGGCAGGCGTTTCTGCGTGAACACGCCGAGGTACGGGACTCGATCGTGTCACAACTGTCCTTCACGGATCCTGTCTGGGACTTTTTTGGTCTGCAGGTCGAGAGCGAGCCTCTTCCGGTTCAGAGCTAGGCGGGCCGCGCAAAGCACTAATTGGGGAGGCAGGGCGCGGGCGGGCGGGGCCTCAGGCGGCCGGAGGGCGTGGGGTGCAGGCGGTGCTGAAGAGCTTGCACAGGAAAAGGTACGCCTTGGACAGGAGCCGGATCCGGTCTGGGACAATCAACGTGCCAATGAACGGGCGCAGTCGCCGGACCGGGAAGGCTTTGCAAACCCACATGCGTGTCAAGCATGCCGTGATGAATATCCTGCGTCCGTATGCCGTATGCCGGCCGCGATTGCAAATTTCAGGCGTGCCACATTGTTTCTCGACGGGACTCCAGATACTTGCTTACTTGAACAGGCAGGCTAATCAGTGCGGCGAGTGGGTGTTGACAAATTGTGCATGAGGATGTTGCTGCGTTAGACGAGACTGACGCACTGGCGCGCCACTGTGCAAAGCTAGGTTCAAGCGCCCCCAAAGCAGGGGGCCCGCTGTAAAAAATGACAGAAGACGTGGCGGCCGAATGTTCCTGTAATGTGGGAGCTGTGAACTGCTTGTAACTGTTTTCATCCTTCAGCGTCGCATGGAGCACAGCGCAAGCAAAAAGGAGGAGGGAGGAGGAGGAGGAGGAGGAGGAGGAAAAGGACCCCCCAGACGGGGTCCAGAAGCGGCCCCAGGAGGCTGGCAGCAACGAGCAAAACTCATTCGCGACCTTCTCGCGACGCCTGGAGTCGAGGGAGGAAACGCGATGACGATGACCATAACCAAGATGTCGCGGGATCTTGCCGACACCGACCTTGGCCATGGCCCAGGCCAGCCGTCACCGATTTGCGAGGATCACCCGCGCGTTGACGATGATCAAGATGCACGGTGACCAAGACCGACACCGACGCTCCCGCGTTCCATCATGGCCATTTTGCCATCGTCTCCTCTCCCTCCATGGAGCCCGTAGGTCGGGCGTGTCTCCCTACAGGCGGATTCTGGGCGAAAATTGCAACTTAGCCCAAAAATGCAAAACATTGGCAAACATAGTCAAAACACCGTCCCCGGACTATTGTTGGACTATTTTTGAATGCTCCTCCTGTCGAGGGACAGGCCCGACTCAATGGAGGCCTGGGCCTCCCACCTCTGGCTCCCTTTCTGCCCGAGTCGAATCGGGAAATCGGCGGAAGTGGGGACGAGTCGGGAAAAGTCGAACCGGCGGAAATCGGCAATCGGGGCCCCCATCGGAATCCGAAGCCGAATCGGAATCGGAAGCCGTCGTCATCGAATCGCATCGAATCGGAGGAGTCGACGCGAGCCTCCTCCTCCTCCTCCTCCTCCTCCTCCTCCTCCTCCTCCTCCTCTTGCCTTTTGCCTAACTGCGCGCCAAGCTCCTCTGACAGGTGGCGCTGAAGAGCTGGACTAGAGCTCTGGGAAGACTACTGCGCGTGGTGGGCCAACGTCTTCTGGCTGGGGCCACTGCTTGTAATCTTTGGGGAGTTCCCCTCGTTCGAGGGTCTCAATAATTCTCTTGCCATGGGTAGACGAGGCACACCTTTGCGAGCACGTCTGGCTCAGCTTCTGGAAAGACACTGACCCCGCCCCACCACAGGACCTGCACCAAAAGAAACCCCTGAAGGTCATGAGCTGGTGGGACCTATGGATCTGGGCGGGGAAACCTCTGCGCTGTTTGTCCAGCCAAACAGGTCGGGGACAGACAGAGGACGGAGAAGAGAGGCAGCGGGTGCAACGGAGCCTGCCTCGTACATCTCGCTGAACAGCATGGGCGGACGACTGCGCGGCGGCCTGGGGCGACTCCCGCCGTGCCTGCGCCCTACGCTTGGCCTCGTGCTGTCTGTCCATCTTGGCGCTGGCTCCGTAGACCTCGGGAGCCTGGCGCGCTACGTGATCCGCGACTGCCAGCAGGTGAGCCTGGACGCTCGCCGCCAGATCATCAAATCTAAAAATTTCGGTCAGATCCTCCTGTGGCATTTGGGCTGCTCCCGCTCCCTCCTCAGCACGTAAGTCGGCAATCCTATTGGCTAGCCAACTCGCTGGGGGAACCTGGGCGCTTGCTGCCTGCTCAGGGGACTGGTGAGAAGGAATTTTCTCAACCGAAACTTCGCGGCCCTGGGCCAAATTCCAAAAAGTGCTCCAGAGCCTCTGGTTTGTAGCATGCTGTTCGCTGGGGCCCTTGCGGATTCCATCCACTACGTTCTGGGCATCAATGACAAAGTGCACTGGGCCTCTAGTTCTCTGAATGGCCTCCACTGCTGCCAACAACTCTGCAATTGGCACTGACTGCTTCCAATAGTCTACTGGCCCGTGCGCCCAAGCAACCGCTTCCCACCCTCTGAAGATGGAAAAACCCCACCCGCACCGACGGACCCGAAAATCAGCATGATACTTGCCTCCTGAGCCGTCGGTTGCGACGATGGTAGCGTGGCCCAAAGAAACTACCGCCTGCAGGGCTAGTTTCCCCCCACCTGGGGCTGTCCCTGGATCGGGCGGGTCGCGAAAGGGTGCACCCACAGGACTGGCGCTAACCCTCGGAGCCAACAACAGGGGTTGTCTAGGACTCCCTCTTTTGCTTGGCTAGCAAGCTCTCCATGCAGCCCCTCCAGGGCCGCACTCCCAGAACTGGTGAAAAAACGTTTCCTGTTCGGCTCCACATCTGGGGCAGGCTGGGCTGGTCCAAGTGGGGCGGCGGCGTTGTCTGACTGCCTCTGAACCTTCCTCCAAGAGCTCAAAAAACACCTCTGGGGGCTCAGGCCGCGCCTGCTCCTCCTCCCACTGGGCCTGCTCCAACATCTGCTCAAAGGAACAAATCGTCCTCATCTCCCTCCTGCCCCTCCTCCCTGGCCTGCTGGACTGCATTGGCTGGCGGGCCAGGGGTGCCCAACTCCTGCGCCTCTGCTGGCTCAGGTGGCTGGGCTCTGGGGGCTAGGGACGAAATGAAGGGTGTCTGAGGGTGGCGTGCCGCCTCCTCCCCAAACCTGTGACTGGCTGGCCACAAAGCTCCAGCCATGAGCATCCGAAACACTCCTAGCTGGTCGTACTTGCCTTCTTTGCGGAGCTGTCTCATGCGGCATTTGTTAGTAGACAAGTCAGGGCCATGCTCCAGGCCCTTGCCATGGTAATGCTTGGCAGCTGTCAACCACGCTTGTTGATCCAAAGTCCCATAGAGCTGAAACTCAACGATTCGCTCAGGATCATCAAGCTCTAGGTTGAGATGGTCCTCGTCCTGGTTTATCCCTTCCCACGGCGAGACCGCCGAGAAACCTAAATCCTGCAGGGCTGCTGCCGTGGCTGAGAGGGTGCCTTTGACTCGATGCCTGCGCGATTGGGACGATTCCAAGCCCGTCCACGCTTTGCGCCAGGCGATCTGTACCGCTGAGCGTCGGTCTCTAAGCAGCTCTGGCAGCATGGCTATCCACTCTCGAAAAAGCCTCAATCTTGCGAAAACCAACGGGTCCTGGCGTGCCGAGGGGAAGGACGTTCGAATCGTGGTCGTCGCACATCCTCCTTCCTTTCGGCCAACCATTCCACTGACTTGAGCTCTCATTTTTAAGAGCTGTGACGGGGCAGTGCCTTGGCTCTGAAGGCCCCAGGAGGCCTGGGGAAGGTACCCCGTCTTGACTAGCGCCACTCCTAATCTGGATGTTCTAGCGATGCGCTTAATCATTTGCCCTCGGTCGTGGCTGGCCTGCATCCTCTTTTTGCCCGTGCCAATGCTTCTCCGATGCGAGGTGCCATCGATCACGAGGTCCTTGACGAATTGACTATGTTTCAAATCTATCCTGGTTCCTGACGCCTGATCCTGATGGCCGCCGCGACCCTGGGAGGATTCGAGACCACCTTGCTTTTCACCGAGATGGTGAGCCCCAGGGAAGCGCAGCGCTGCACAAAAAACCTCACTGCGGCTGTCGTGGTTTCCACCACAACACTCTCTTTTCCT